TGTTTATGGCCCCTCGGGGTTCATCTCAAATGGACTTCCTGATGGGTGATAATCCGGGCAAGTAGGAAATGTCAGCGATCCGCTAACAGGCGGAAACTCAGTGGTTTGGAGGATTACAGGTAGACATCCAGACAACACGAGTGCCCCCTGATCTCACACGGTGGCAAACTCGATCCGGAGAGCCTGCCTCTGTTCCTCTAACACGCACTGAGGAGGAAAGGACCTAACAGGCAAAACCCACTGTTTGCGTCTTCACTCTTCAGACCAAGCTTCCCCTAGGAAGCAGCTGAGTACGGTCTGGGAATCAGGAACCGTCCTCACCTGACAAGTCGGTCAGCCAGCAATGCGCCCCATCCACCCGGCTGGAAAGAAAACTGAAGAGAAAAGCCGGTTACTACCCACGCAGCCAGACACAATGGCAAAGGTAGGGGCTACATCTTGACGCCCCCCAAGCTTCTTGCCTTCCTTTTGCCTTCCTTGCTTGGGAAGGACACTGGCTGCACTTGCTAGCTCTCTGGAAACGCACGGACCGCGCCAGTCATCTACATTTTACTGCGACTTGGCATCAGAGGCATTCGTTACCAGGTTTGTCAGTTGGGAGATGACACCGTGTTATCCCACTTCTCCACAGCTGAAAGCCAAGGAAGTCAATGCTCAACTGATTTCCCTAACAGTTGTGGCAGTACTCTGGCAGCAACACGCCATCACAACTACTTACAAAAACCTAAAAAAAATGTTGCCAATTACTAGGGAAAGCCATGCGTGAGCAGTAGAAAAGCACTGGGAAGCGGTTTTCCTATCTCCGCGAAGGAAGGCATCCTGAGGAACTTCCTTAATTGGGAGTTAAACGGTCTCAGATGCCGGGATTACTTTCCCGTACCGTTGGAATCATTTTGTTTGCAAACACTTGGTACAGGACCTGGGTCGCGGGAGGAAACGAGAGGTGAACTAGCGGGTTCGAAGTTCTAAGTGCCTTCAGTCAGGAACACGCAGTGGGTCATCTAAACCCTCCGTGAACCCCACGAGCACCGGGCCGTCTAAACCCTCCGTGCACCCCCGACGCGCACCGAGCCATCTAAACCCTTCGTGCACCCCGCCGCACACCGGGCCGTCTAAACCCTCCGTGCACCCCCGACGAAGCACCGAGCCATCTAAAGTCCTCCTGAAAAGACGCGGTCTCGGGCACCCGGAACGTCCACACCAGCCCGCGAAGGTGCACGGCCCGCAGAGCACGAGAGGAAACCGCACCGGGCCCGCCCGACACGCGCAGACGCAACCGAGGGTGCAGTGGGTACCTGGGTGATGGAATCCCCGAAAAGCAACACGCGAGGCCAGAGCAAAGAGCTCCCGCCAGCAACCCGCTCGCACAGCGCCATGGTGGAGCCTCCGAACACCGCGCCGGATGTGGAGCCTCCGGGGGGCGGAGCCAGCCGTGGGCGGAGCCTGGCGGATCTGGTCTTCTGTTTCTCCCGCCGGCTTTTCTGGGCCCCGTGAGTCGGTAGAACGGGGCTGTGGGGGCCCCCTCACCCTCTACTCCATCGCTTTGTGACCGGCGATAGCTGGGGTGCCCTGGGTTCTTAGAGAAGCTCCGTGTGCCCAGCGCAGGCTGGCGGAGCTGAGACCTGCTTCGGCAGGCCCGCTCCTCCATCTCCGGCCACGCCCAAGTGGGGCTCGCCTCTCCTTGGTTACTGGCCTCGATGGACACAGTGAGGAGACAGCTTTGAAAGCCCGAGCTGTCCAGGGACCCTCACTCCAGACTGCCTGATTCCAAAGCATTAAAACGGAATGTTTAGCTCTAATAAATTTTTGTATTCTATTGGGGGGCCCTAGACTTTTGGTATAGGCCAAAGACATGGGAATTGGGCTGTTTTACAGAAATCTCATAAAGTCAGACTTACACTTTGTTACCAGAGCGCAGGAGTATTTACACACCTACAAGGGGAGGTGCACGAGCCAGGTTACAGCCGCGCGATTCTGTGGCTTGACTGTGCGTTGAGGATGAGGCTCTAGCCAACTCCAGGAGAAAGGTGGGGACCACTGGGAGCCACCACCCGCTCCAGCCAGCCAGTACTTTAGGAAACGAGACTAACGAGCTGATCTACACATCTGTCATAAAGCTGGCTCTGAGCTGACATGTGGATCCCATACGAAGGAGCTTCCTAAGAGCAGTGGCTTTAAACACATAAGCAAGAGATTTGGTAAGGGTGGAGAAAGGGTTCAAACCTGTGGCACAGTATTTGCTTTCAATTCCAAGCACAGGTATGCCAGAATGGACACTGCTTTTCCTTTCGGAGTCTGCGCAGCTGCTAGATCTTAGGATTTCAGCTCGTGCTGCAAACACCTGCAGGTAGAAACAATACTCAAGAGGTGGCTCCCTGAGGACAGCTCAAGACCAACGGGCGAACTAGTCAGTGGTCCAGCAGGATTCAAGCCGTTTGATGCTGAAGGAAACAGGCACCCCAGAGAAACTAAGGTATTTTACTTGAGGTAACAGAGGTAAAGCCAAGAGTGTACAAAAGTTCAAGGGCAGGGGATCAAGGTAGTCAGTGCACAGGCGTCAGGGCCTCGTACAGCCGCTGGGCGGCCAGCTCCACCATTTCCCGGAGGGACTCGTCATCCTCACTTCCTTCTTCACATTCTACAACCTGGAAGTGAAAGCGCAAACCTCAGCCTGGAGTCACTGGTGAATAAAGTGAACACTCTAAGCCCCGAGGCTGCTGCCAGGATGCAGCCTCTCTCCTGTGCACCTGTGGTAGGCAGTGTCCCTGACCACAGTGACTGGACAGCCAAAGGGGTGGGGCACGAACAGACTCCCAGGCCAGAGCCCCTCCATCTATCCAGCACACGGTACTCTACACAAGTTAGTCTGTGTGGCACGGATTTAGCAGCTATGGATGTGGTAAATTATTCTCCATCTGGTGCTAATTTGGCTCAAACTAACTAACCATCTTCTGGTGGCCCTGCCTTGCTGCTGCTGCTGTTTTTTTAAAGGTAACGTTAGTCTCACTCTACAGACAGGCTTCAAACTTGCTGAAACTCAGGCCAGACTCCTGAGCAGTGGCCTTACAGGCATGCGTTACCCAACCTAGTTTATGGCAGCGTACATCTTTTTTTTTTTTTGGGGGGGGGGGGTTCGAGACAAGGTTTCTCTGTAGCTTTGGAGCCTGTCCTGGGACTAGCTCTTGTAGATCAGGCTGGCCTCGAACTCACAGAGATCCACCTGCCTCTGCCTCCGAGAGCTGGGATTAAAGGCGTGTGCCACCACCGCCCGGCTGGAAGCTTACATCTTACAGCTCAAAAACAAAGCTCAGGGCCAGCCAGCTCGGATAGGATAAGAACCTATCTCACAAGCCACAGCAGGAACCAGGGTTGTTGGGACTACAGGCGTGTGCTTCCACGTGCTCACTTCTGTGTTACCAAGAGAACCCGGGCTTTGTCCACATCAGGAAAGGCCACTACCAACTGAGCTAGCCCCCAGCCTCCAAACTGCCCCACTCAATAGCCCGGGCTGCAATCGCATTCCTGTCTTCACATTTCACCCCACATGCAGCTACATACCCGCGTCTCCAGGTTCAGATTTGCTGTTTTCCCGTCCACTGTGACGCTGAGGACAGAGTCATCTTTCACACTGACACAGTCTTCTCCAAATATGTCCCTTTAAGTGAACAGAAAGTTGCTGTTACTGGGAAAATGCAGCTTTACCTGTGTGGGAGAATGATACTGAAGAGAGGCCCAAGTCCTGCAGTAGGATGCTTTTGGCTACCCTGGAGACACGCGGCTGACCGTCAGCTTTCTACAACAGTTAAAACATAGCCCTGCTCAGGAGGGTGCACCACCATTCCATTTAGCAAGCACTAGTATTGGTTTGGTATTAATTTAATACTGGGGATTAAGTGTGGGGTCTTGTACACACTGGGCAGACATACTGCACTGGTCTTTAAAACTGTTCTGAGACAGGCCTCACACAGCTGCCGAGAACAGCCTCCAACTGCTATGCAGCATAGGTCTTGGAATCCTCCATTTTGGGGCCAACTTGGGCAAGACAGTGAAGTTATGTCTCAAAAACATGAAACAAAATAAAAAACCAACTAAAGTCATTATTTAAAAGCCACTGTAAGCAGTCTGAAATTTCAGAAAAGCCGCCCAAACACTAAAATGTCTACGTTAAGAGTCACTTTCAACTTAAAGCCAGAAGCAGCCATTGTCATGATCAGAAACTGCAACATCCCCAGATGCTCAAAGTTAAAGCTGGCTGCCGGATGATGGGTTCTGACACCACATTGCTAACCAGGAGGTGAGGCCTAGGTGAGACAGGCCCCTGGGAGCATGCCTCCAGGGGAGCTTTCTCCTCTGTTATAGTCCATCATCAAACCCAAGGCTACCTAGCCATGGCAGAGTTCTCTGAAACAGTGAGCTACGATGTATCTTTCTTCCCTTTGTCTTGTAGGCATTTGTCTATAATGAAAAACTAAGTTATTCATTCAACAAGCAAATGAGAGACCAGCACTTCAGGCACTGTGTTAGGTGCTGAAATTATAAACTAATCGCCACTGGACAGGGCTTCTAAGATCACTTGGGAAAGCATCTTGAAATCAGCTTAAAGAGCACCTACAGGAAGGAGCTGGCATTAGAAACATACTGAGTCTAGAGACATTTCATAGTTACAGACTTACTGGAAAGAGCCTGGAACACCGACTTTATCAAATAATTCACACCCAAGCAACATTTAAAATAATTCTTAAAGGCACAGTGACCAGTTGATCAGCACCAAGTCTCGACAAAAGCGCTTCGTGGGCACTCCTGGAGGCCTGTGGGCACTGCCACCCAGCACTAACCACTGGACATAACTTGGTACAACACACCGTAAGTTCAGCACTCCCACCATGCACCCGCATGCCCATGCACCCGAGACTTACTGGAGCATGACTTCCAGCCTCTTGCTGTAAATGTGCATCTCTAACTTCTTAGAGACCTTCTGCACGGCACCTAGAGGACAAACAGCCATCATCAGACAGACAGGTCACCAGAGCATGGCTATGGAGATGTGAAGTAACGATGGAGACCTCAAAGTCAAAACATGTGATGTGTCTGTCACATGCCCACTCAGGCAAAAGCATGTGCCGTGTTATTCCATGTTTTTATAAAGAAACCACAATGACATTCACTTTTATTTCCCATATTTCTCAAGCTTACATTTTGAAGAGAGATGAGTAAAATTATAGGTCCAATAATCCCAGAACACATTAAGTTCTTTTGTATCTAAATGTTATGTACATCTAACATCTGATATGGCATCTGATTATGGATGTTTACTTCTTGCTCTTGCAGAGGACCCGGGTTCAGTTCCCAGCACCCACTCGGGGCAGCTCACAACCTGTAACTCCAGCTCTGGTCTCTACAGGTGTCTTCATTTACCTACACACAAGACTGACAGTGGATCTTAAAAAAAAAATACTCGCTAGGCAGGGCAGAGGTGGTGCACACCTTTAATCCCAGCACTCAGAAGGCAGAGGCAGATCTCTGTGAGTTCGAGGCCAGCCTGGTCTACAGGGAGTTCCAGGATGGCTAGGGCTATATTGAAAACCCTCTCTTAAAAACTAAAATAAAAATAAAATAATGATAATAATAATAATACTTAAAGGTGCCTGCCTATTAATAATGACTTTTTTCCTTTTCTTTTTTAAACCCCAACAAACACACAACTTGATGGTCAAGATGACATCCTCAATCTGGAGTTAAGGTCACCCTGGCACATCCGTTCATATACCTCCCTGGCCTTCACCCATTCACGTCTCTGCTTCCCCAGGGTAGGTAGAGCTAACATGTGACCCTGCCCTACTCAGGACATGTGTGCACACACAGAATCTTTCCCCCTGTGGCAGTATCTCACTATGAAGTCCCAGTGCTCACTACGTAGCCCAGACTGGCTTTAGACTTCGGGGACCCTCTTTCCTCTGACTCCCAAGTGTTAAGATTACAGGAATGTGAACCACACCCAGCTTCTTTCCAATGTTTTGGTGTTTGATTCTGTAAGACAGGGTCTCCTGTAGGGTGCAGGCTGGCCCTGAACTCCTCCTGGCCAGAACCCTCTCAGTGCTGGGGAAGGTTCCCAGTGCTGGGGAAGGTTCTCAGTGCTGGGGAAGGCTCTCAGTGCTGGGGAAGGTTCTCAGTGCTGGGGAAGGTTCTCAGTGCTGGGGAAGGTTCCCAGTGCTGGGGAAGGCTCCCAGTGCTGGGGAAGGTTCCCAGTGCTGGTGAAGGTTCTCAGTGCTGGGGAAGGTTCTCAGTGCTGGGGAAGGCTCCCAGTGCTGGGGAAGGCTCTCAGTGCTGGGGAAGGTTCCCAGTGCTGGGGAAGGTTCTCAGTGCTGGGGAAGGTTCTCAGTGCTGGGGAAGGCTCTCAGTGCTGGGGAAGGTTCTCAGTGCTGGGGAAGGTTCTCAGTGCTGGGGAAGGCTCCCAGTGCTGGGGAAGGCTCCCAGTGCTGGGGAAGGTTCCCAGTGCTGGGGAAGGTTCTCAGTGCTGGGGAAGGTTCTCAGTGCTGGGGAAGGTTCTCAGTGCTGGGGAAGGTTCTCAGTGCTGGGGAAGGTTCCCAGTGCTGGGGAAGGTTCTCAGTGCTGGGGAAGGTTCCCAGTGCTGGGGAAGGTTCTCAGTGCTGGGGAAGGTTCTCAGTGCTGGGGAAGGTTCTCAGTGCTGGGGAAGGCTCCCAGTGCTGGGGAAGGCTCCCAGTGCTGGGGAAGGTTCCCAGTGCTGGGGAAGGTTCCCAGTGCTGGGGAAGGTTCTCAGTGCTGGGGAAGGTTCTCAGTGCTGGGGAAGGTTCTCAGTGCTGGGGAAGGTTCTCAGTGCTGGGGAAGGTTCTCAGTGCTGGGGAAGGCTCTCAGTGCTGGGGAAGGCTCTCAGTGCTGGGGAAGGCTCTCAGTGCTGGGGAAGGTTCTCAGTGCTGCGTGCTCCTTATGCAAGTGCTGTCCCCGCTGAGCCACATCACACACAGAGCAAATAGCAGCACCATTCCAGGCCAAAGGCGGAGATGCGTACACTGCCGTTACCCACAACCCAAATGCTCATCAGTGGTTCAAGGGAGGATTTGGACATGCCTGGCTTGCTTATTCGTGTAACAGAGTGGTCCACACAGACGACTTAGAAAGTGACCAGCTCCATTTTCTTCCCTGAAATCAAAGTGCTAACAGCCCGTGCCCACGATGTGCCTTTAAGTCTAGAACACTCTATCTGAACAGGCCCTGCAATGATGTGATGGGCACAGCGTGGGAGGCGTCCCCCAGAGGACATTAGGGTGGCTCCTTGCCTAGTGGTGCATCTGGAGAGCACTAGAGTGCACGGTGCAGCCGCAGGGGCAAGCACACACGCGCTGGCTGGGGCCGCCATTCTGCTCAGCTCCTTCCCCTGAACATGAGGCCAGCTCAGCAGAGCAGTATTTTAGCGTCTCTGCTCAGGGGCCCAAGAGAAGTGTGACTACACAAGAATCAACCTGGGTGAGACCATGGCCGTGTCCCTACTGTGTAAATGATGGGCCACCGAAGATCTGGACCGTCGTGTTCATAACTCAAACTCACACACTAAAGAAGACAGGGAAACTGAACTTCCACTCAGGGCTCCACTGATCTTTAGTTCTACGAGTTGGGAGAGGAGGAGTAGGGGGTAAGCATAGGCAAGGCCGTACCTTTCCTTATTTTTGGATTCGACTGAACTTCCAGTATCACGGTAGTCACTGTGTCAGCATACATGTCGTTAGAGGGGTTCGCCAGCCACTACAAGGCAAAGGTGGAGTCAGGACAGGGGATCTGCAGCCACACGGCTGCGAGCTCTGCCTGTCAGGCCACAGGTCACAGGGGAGCTGCCGCTCTAGCTTTGCTGGGAATCAACTGACTCCTGGTCACGTGAGACCCCCGCCCCTTAACTTCCTTTTAATCAGCAAAAAGAACCTACTAAGCACTCCCTTTGAGGCAAAAGGTTTTCCATGAATTGCCATTTAATTTCCCCAATTATTTATGAAAAAAGAAACCTGATCCCAAAGTTACCCCATGCAACATAACTGCTGGTGCTGGGAAACTCCAATTCCACACCTGCGCCAGGGGCACAGACAGCAGGACAAGAGGCTGAAATACAAGGTGCGTACATATGCACATCTGGCTTTGTGTTTGTACTGGGTCTCACCAGTGTATCCCCACCCCACCCCACCGTGGGTAATGGTATCTGACCAGCTTGTACATCTGTGTGCCACCTCTCACAGAGACTGTCGGTGTCCTGGCACTGAAGTGACAGTTGATTATGCATGGCCATGCGGACGCTGGGGATTGACCCTTCCAGCCCAGATTTAAAGAAAAGAATCTGTTTTTATATGTCTGTCTTAACCTAATTTAATGATGTCTAACCCTTTTGGACTTGAGTTATTTTACAGTTTATTCAAAACATGAAAATACCACTTTTTTTTTTTTTTTTTTTAAGAAAGGCAGCATGATTAGTTTGTGGTTTTGTTTTAGCTTTGTTTTTGGAGACAGGGTTTCTCTGCATTGCCCTGGCTGTCCTGGAATTCATTTTGTAAACCAGGCTGGCCTCAGAGATCCACCTGCCCCTGCCTCCCAAGTGCTGCTCCCTATGCCCAGACAACAAAAAAATTTTTGAGACAGGGTTTCATAAAGTCCAGGATGAATATGAACTAACTTTGAGTCAAGGATACCTTGCCCTTCTGATCCTCTTGCCTCCACCTTCCAAGCAGTGGGATGACCTACTTACACGGTAGGGTAAAAGCTGGGGTCTGACCAGGGCTTTGCTAGCTATTACTGCTTAGCACCCGTGATTATGTGTTGGGCTGGCTCAGGCAAGTCAGCTGTGTCCAACACCCAGAATTCAACCTTTTCCCTTTTAAGATCTTTCTATTTTTTTAAAAAATTAAAATATAGGTACATTATTTTCCCCTTTCCCTTTCTTCCCTCCAACCTCTCCCATGTCAACCCCACCACCAACTACTCTGTCTCTAACTCAGGGCTTCTTCCACTTCAATTGTTGCTGTATCTTTTTCCCTACACACGTAAGCACAGCTTGCTCAGCATGTATACTGTTATTTGTATGTACTTGACTCAGGCCTGACTGCTTGGTCTTGGAAAACCCATCAGGAACTTTTTCCTGGGGAAGACTTTCTCCAGCTCCTAGAATCCTCAGCTGCCTGCAGTTTTGTCTAGGGCTGAGTCTGTGAACTTCCCTCTTCAAAACTGATGGCACCCTGGAAGACCATTAACCACACTGCTCTGTGATTACACGTGTGTATCTGAAACCTACTCCCTCTGTGAGGGGATGACTGGGCCTCACCTCCAGAATCACCATGCCTGGCTCCTGGATGACAGTAATATTTTTGAACACCTTCAGGGCAGGCTTTTCTTGAATTTCTAATTCTTCTACATCACCTGAAAAAATGTGTAAGATTCATATGATATTCTTATAGACTCTAAGAGGCATTGGTCTTTGTAAAGATAGTTAAGATAGAGCTGCTGTAAGTGGGAAAAATAGTAACATTTAATGGCTGTGTTCTACGCTAACGGCTCACAGCCACCGAAGACACCGCAGTACACAATCCCTACGCCTGCCCCTCAGGCACCAACACTTGGGCCATCAGCTAGAGAGGCCAGATTCCACAGCACTCAGCCGAAGTGTGGGGACCTCATGGGCCAGCTCCCCACCTCCACCGCAAGTCAATCATTGCTTGGGGAGTCCAGCTGCTGAAGGCCCCATAGTGCTCAAGAACTTATTCACTAACTAATCAACCATTAACTCATGACTTTTCTCTTTGGCCATAGTTCTTGTTTGAGGTCAATCTCAGGAGTTCCTGGGGGAGGGTTCTCCCCCACTTCTTGCAGGGCAGCACCTTGCTTCAGGGGCTGTGGGGACTCAGCAGCAGCAGGCATGTCACAGGCTGCATGCTCCCACCTCCTCAGAGAGCCCACCCCCCATCAGGCGTCAGGCATCACCTGACACTGCGTAAAGACAGAATCTTCCATCTAAAATGGTGAGAATGAGAGACACAGGCTTATGCTCTCACCGAGGCTTTACCAAGCCGGCTACAGACTGGTACTGGCAGAACAGAGAACGCAATATATAAAATCTTAAGTATAGGTAACTAAAACAGATTTTAAATAAAAGGAGAAAAGACCACTGATATTTTTAAGATTGTAGGTGATCAAAGATACTGTGGGATTTTTTAAAGTTTGTGAGTAGTTTTTAAAATGTTGACTTTTATGCGATAAAATGACCAAGCAGTACATAGGAATTCTGAGACAATTATTACAGTGAAGTACATTTTTTTTAAAAATTCTTACTAAAAATGCAATGATGTGAATTTCAGTAAACACACCTGTCAATTTCTGTAGCTGGTAATACAGCAAATTAAAGGGCCCAGTATATGGGATGGCCTGGGTCTGTTTCACAGTGCTCATGGCCAGGTCAGTGTAATCTGAAAAGAGAATGAGAATAAATACATTTTAAGAGACCAGCTGAGCATGGTGGTAAACACATACTCCTAGCACTTAGGAGTCAGAGGCAGAGAATTTGAGATTGGTGCCAGCCTCAGTTACAAAGTGAGACAACAGCTCAAGAACAAACAAATCACACAAAATACAACTTGCACAAACACACATCAGGGATTAAGAAAAACGTAGCAGATCCAGCACCCATGGCAGACCCAGAGGGATGAGCTCACCTGTGCCACAACTGGCAGGCTGCTGCTCTGTTTCCCAGGCTGACTCCCTACACTTATCCCCTGCCACCCTGGTGGGTCTGGGTTCTGGACGTGTTAGGTTCTTGTACGTCTCCAAGCAAGTATAGCAACCATCTGTACTTCTTTTCTGCTCAGTGTCTCTATAACTACCTGGCCTGCATGCTCCTGACCTGAAACACTCTTTCCAACTCTCTCGGGAAGTCTCCTCTGTGCGCTGGTCCCTCACTAGACTGTCACCACCAGCCAGGACAATGTTCAGTAACTCCTCAGTGTCCAGCTTTAGCCCAGAAGCTGACCTAAGAGTGGGAGTTCACTGGGGCAGGACAGAGGTCAACAGTTAAGAGTGCACACTGCTCTTGCAGAGGATCCAAGTTTGGTTCCCAGCATCCAGGTTGGGTCGCCTGCCAGTTACTCCAGCTCCATAGGGATCTGACACTTCCAGTCTCCACAGGCATCAGCAGGTGTGCACACACATTTAAAAATCATAAAAATAAATTTTAAGAAAGTTTTTTTAAAAAAAGAATTAGAAAAAAACAAAAAAACAAACCAGCTTGTCCATTTATCTGTTGTTATCGTAGCTGAAAGGTGACCTGCCTCACAGGTTAACATCTAACTCTGATAGCCTTCTCCTTCACGGCACACTTATGATCTGGCAGCACACAACAGCACACAACAGAGTGTGAGCGCACTGCTGACCTGGAGATAAACCCCTGTCTTGGCGTCTCTTCTATTACTACCTGCATCATCTGGGAAAGCAGTACTCATCAATGGCTCAGACTTTACACAGATCAGAGCTCACATGGGAGTATTTCTATACTGGGGAAAAGCAATTTACAAACATAAACGCAGCCCTATTTAGCTTTGTTCAAACCCCCATGTTTAGCGGGCAGTGGTGGCACACTCCTTTAATCCCAGCATTTGAGGAGGCAGAGGCAGGCGGATCTCTGGGAGTTCAAGGTCAGCCTGGTCTATAGAGCAAGTTCCAAGACAACCAAGGCTACACAGAGAAACCTTGTCTCAAAAAACAATAACAACAGAGAGAGAGAAAGAGAGTGAGAGAGAGAGAGAAACTACAAATGCTTTATTCTCTCCTCCTGGCCATTCTTCTAGAGATAAAGAATTAAAAAACCAAGCAAGTTATGGAAAGCTTGGGTCATAAAGGAACAAGGTGTACCTGGGGCCTGAGCATGCTCGCTACTCAGAGGGCCAAAGGGTTCCATTCATACCATACCCACACTGAACTAAAACAAATGTAAAAAACAAAATGCTGGTTGAGCATGGTGGCCTGTATGTCCAATCTAGCTACTCTGGAGGTTGAGGACTGTGAGTTTGAGGCAGCCTGGGCTACACAGTGATACTCGATCTCAAAATAAAAAATGAAAAGGGGTCAGATGTAGCTAAGTAGTGGAATGCTTGCCCAGCAAAAACATAAGCCCCTAAGGCTAACCCCCAGTACCACATCAAGCAGCTCAAACCAAACAAAAACAAAAGTTAATTGGGGTAGTGCAGAAAGATACTCCAGAAACTAAAAGCCCTGCATCACCAGAGAAGAGTAGAAGGGCGCTGCAGCCTGAGCAAGGCAGGCCTTACACGTGAGCTACTCTTCAAAGCTGTCATCTGGGGAGTAATTCAAAAGATCCAACAGCTTGTCAGGGAAAGGCTCTTTCCCATGGAGCGATTCAGATTACATTCCCGTCCTACTTGATTAGCTGCTAACTGAAATCTGACCCAATTGTGTGGCCAGATGGCTCAACAGGTAAAGGAGCTTGTCACTGCAGCTTCAAGAGGCAAGGTCCATCCCCAGAACCCACACAGGGAAGGAGATTCCACTCCTGACAG